AATTTTGGAACTATTATTAAGCGAGTAAAAAATAAAAAATAAAAATATTGTTAGAGATCTATTTTACATGAATCCTCATGAATATAAGGTTAGTATTTGTAACCCTCGTAAAAAAAATGCATACATACATACATACATACATACATACATACATACATACATACATATATATATATATATATATATATATATATATATATATATATATATATATATATCAAAATCGAGTAGTGCTTGAGGACTATATTCTACCCAAATTTTATGTAATTTATTTGAGGACTTTAGAGTGGTTTCTAGGTAAAACTTAAAGAATAAAAGTTGTTCATCTATGTGTCTACTAGCTCTCTATACAATTTTGTGATCTTTAGACCTATATATAAAGAGTTATAATCGTTTTAGTGTAGGTTGATCTTGAAGCATCACTGCTGGAATTTTTGAGAAAAGAATGGACAAGGAATTTTCGAGTTTTAAGAACGAAATTTTTGAAATTTCATGAAGAAAACTATGTTTATTTATTTTAATCGATTTAATTAGGGTGTATATTTAACCTAAAATTTTAGTAGACACCTAAGCAATGCATTAAATGAATTAATAGCCAACTCACCCATTTTTGTCCCAAACCCGCCACCTCTCTCTCATGACTCACCATTAATTTTCCACTCTTCCAAATTAAATCCAGCCATTTGTACACTTACTTAGACCAATACTCTAAGCATGTGTATATATATATATATATAGAAAGAGTGCAAATGATAAGAAATTTTTAGACGACCATAGCCATCAAAATTGGGAGAGAAAAACGATAAATAAGAGAGGAAGAGAAAAGGAAAAGAAAAAAGAAAAAGAAAGAAAAGAAAGAAGGGAAAGCCTAACCAACCTTTAGGAAATTCAAGCAAGGTAAGTAGGTTTCATTTTTGGTTGATTAATGTCTTAAGTTATTTTTTTAATTTATTTTTTTTTTAGTGTTTATTTCATGGGTTTGTAATAATTTTTCTATGGATTGCTATGGATGTTTGTGTTGGTGTTAGGGCTTGTTAAATTGTGATGAATTTATATGTTTTGTTGTCATGCAAAGCTTGTTTGATAGGTTTAAATGTGTGGACGGGTTGGAAAGGAAAAAAGAAAGAAAAAAGGCATGGACCAAATGGATTGAAATTAACCTAGGTTTGGTAAGCTTAACTTGGAAAGAAAAAGGAATACACTTCTAGAGTTTCCCTAGGCTAAAACCATTCGGCCAAATGGGAAAAATGGGGAAAGAATTGATCTTTTGGGAAAATTAAGGGCCTAGAATATCATGGTAACTCAATTAGGAATGGGTTAATAGTTTAGAGTGAAAATAAATTCACTAGCCAAAAAAAAAAGCAATCCATGGCCATCTTAACAACCCATCCACCCTAACTAAAAAAAAATAGGGTTTTGGACTTCATTAGGTAAATTGGACATTTGATCACTAAATTTGGGTTCCTTGGTGGACCTTAAGGTTTAAATGTCCTTGGTAACTCTTCTAAGTATGAGTTGGTAAGTCATTAAAAAGGAAGTGACCTAGAAATGGAAAAACAATTTCTTGCTTATTTTGGGACCATTTGGCCTAGGAGAGAAAATGATTAACATTGAATCCCTTTTGTGTAAGTAGAGATCAAGAAGTGAAGATGAACACAAATAGAAATTAACGATTACAAGACATATAGATAGGGTAATGGAAAAAGAGAATTCAAGAAAAATCGAGATTAAAACCTAGGCCCTTTATGAGTTGACTTCGACTACTAAGATTAAATGTTCGGATTAAGCAAAAATTTAGCTTAAGTATGTCAAGTATAAATCCTTAGGATTAACCGATCTCATACACTAAGCTATACACCGAAAATCCGAGTCTAGACTTACCCGGTACACGAAGAGGAAAAACTTATAGGTACGAAGTAGCTTTATACAATAAATGCTACCAATGAATAGAATTTGTATTCTCATTTTGAATACTTTAAATGGTACATGAAACACCTCTAAAGTCCCAAGTGTGCGTCGGACATGGGAACGATCCGAGAAGAAAATGGTGATAGCATAATTAGTCGAATGTGTTAAACATAATACCATGTGCATCATGTGCATTCGAGGGTGATATGAAATCGAGAAACATCACCGATTCATGAGATAAAATAGTTTAGTAACCGAACCGAATGGAATGAGTAACGAGTATGAAACCATATACGTGCTCTATTACTAACACCGTTAAGTGAGGGATGATTTCACTAACTCGTGTGCTACAATGAGGGATAATTTCGTTGTAAGTAGTAGGTGATAATGAGATCATCAAGAGAGATTAATAGAGTAGTAGGTGATAATGCGATCACCGAGAGATGAAACACACGGACTTGCTAATACCTAGGGTACCCAAATTAAAAATTGATGGGTAGAATGGGAAACGTAACTTCATTGCATATCACGTGCATCACCCTACTTACCGAGCTTTGGCTCACCTTGTTGTTATTTACATGTTATTACAGGTAGCGTTGACTATAGTACCAATAAGGACGCCGTCGGATCCTTAAAAAGGGCTTAGGGGTGACATAAACCTTAGGGGATTTTATTTTATTTATTTGTAATTTTAGGGTTTGGGTGTCAATGAATATTTTGATGGTGTTGTAAATAAATTTTGTAATTTCTTCCATCTGTTTTGTCAATATTATGTAAATTATCCCGATCATGTTTTATTGTATGATAAGTCCTTAATGTATAAACACATATGTGTTTAAGGTAAATTCAAAAATTAGTCGTGTTAGCATGACGCGCCTCGCCTAGTTACTCCTATTTGGGTAATAGAGAGTGAACCGAGAGTGAGGGCGTTACGATATTTCATTTGTATTATGCCAAATGATGTCCAAACAAGTAAGTTGAAAATTAATACCTTGAACATAAAATCATATAGTAGAGTACGTTTTTATATAATCAATTTTATTAATTTTTTTTTTTTATGAATTTGCTTGGGGTTGATCCAATTTCTTATGTAAGATTGATAGGGGATTACCTGCGAAAAAAGTGAATGGTTTTTTGGTGCAAGCTTTGATTTTGTAATTTGATGCATTTTGTTGGTTGATCTTTTATGAAGCATTATTACTTTCTTTTGAGATTTATAGATTTGTGTCCATAGAGATTGAAAATATTATTGTGTTTGAGAGACTATGAATTTAAGGATTGGAACATATGATAAAAAAATTTTAAATTTCATTTTTGGTTATTATTGTTGAAAAATTTAGATTCTTAGATATGATTGTTGGTTTTTAGTTTAATTCATTAAATTCTTAACTAATTTTATATAGCTAATGATTAGAACATGGATATTTTGAAGGAAAAATACATTATTGATGAGATTGATTATTTTTTATAAGTTTAATTTTGATTTTCTTTTTATGGAATCATAACGAATCGAAGACGAGGAAGGAGAGATAATGCATTTTGAACACGAAATCATATAGTAGAATATACTTTTTTTTAAAAAAAATCAATTTTATTAATTATTTTTTGATAACTTTGTTTGGGATTGATCTATTTTTTTCTTTTTTTCTTTTTGTCGGATTGATAAGAAATTACTCCACAAAAAGATGAAGATTTTTTTTATGAAAGTTTTGATTTTATGATTTGATGCCTTTTGGTGGTTCTTTTTATAGCAGTATTGCTTTCTTTGAGATACATAGATTTGCGTTCGTAGAAATTGGCAATATCAATATTTGTAGGTTTATGTGCTTCTTTACTCTCTTAAAATGTTATGAGTGTAAATGCTAATCAAATTTCTTTATGATTTTGTCTTTCTTTATTACTTTCGGAGAAAGTTTTAATTCTTAGGTGAGATATTGTAAATTTGAGGATTCGAATATATGAATGAGAAATTTTAAATTTTATTTTTTGGTTGTTGTTGTTAAGAAATTTTGGGCTATTGGATATAGTTGTTGGTTATTTAGTTCAATTCACTAAAATTTAAACTAATTTTATATAGCTAATGATCGGTACATGGATTTTTAGAATTAAGTACACTATTCATTTGATTGATTATTTTTTAAAATTTTAATTTTTACTTTCTTTTTTGTGCAATCATACTAGCTGAAGATGAAAAATGAGAGAATGAGCGCCTTGAACTCGGAATCATATAGCATAATATATTTTTATTTGAAAATCAAATTTATTAATTCTTTACTTATGAATTTTCTTAGAGCTAGCCTAGTTTTTTTTTTTTTTTAATGTCGGATTGATAAGAGAATAACTTCGAAAAAAAGGTGAATATTTTTTTGTGTAAGCTTTGATTTGTGATTTGATACCTTTTGGTAGTTGCTCTTTTACGAAGCATGTTAATTTTTTTGAGATTTATACATTTGTGTTTGTAAAAAGTTGACATTGTCATAATACTTCTCTTTCCGTTAAAATTTTATATGGGTAAGTAGGATTTTTCTTTCTTTAGTACCCTAAAAGGAGGTTTTAATTCTTTGTTAAGATATTGTGAATTTGAAGATTTGAATATATCAACGAAAAAGTTTGAATTTCACTTTTTGGTTGATTGAGAAATTTTGAAATCTTGGATATGTTTGCTTTTTTAGGGACTAAAATTGAACTTTTCCCACAAATCTAAATAACCCACTATAAATACATTCATTCTCTCATTTTGTTGAGGGGTGGCTCCCTTTATTCACTAAAAGCCAAAAAAAGGCAACCATTTTCATCCCAAAAGAAATGCACCCATATTCTTTCCTAAGCCGAACTAGTCGTTCCATCATCTTTAACCTCCCGCCACTAAATCACCATACCACCATTGTTATATCCTCATCTTCAACCTCCATTCACTACGGTACCTTGACCTATTTCATTTGCCAAGAGCACCGCCACATCCACACCCACACTACCACTACATCTTTAATCTTTATCAAGACTCGAGTTGAACTAGACCCACTTCACCACTATATCTTCAACCTTCATCAAAGCCCAAATAAAACCAAACCCCATTGACCATTGAAGCATCTTCAACCTTCATTAAGACCCAAGTCGAACCGGACCCATTCCACTATTAAAGCATCTTCAACCTTCTCGAGATCTAAGTCGAACCGGACCCACTCCACCACCGAAGTATCTTCATCCTTCATCAAGACCCAAGCCAAACCGGACCCACTTCACCATTGAAGCATACTTTGTCTTTCTTTAATACCCTAAAAGGAAGTTTTAATTTTTTGTTAAGATATTATGAATTTGAGGATTTGAATATATCAATAAAAAATTTTGAATTTGACTTTTTGGTTGATTGAGAAATTTTAAAATCTTGGATATGTTTGTTTTTTTAGGGACTAAAATTGAACTTTTCCCATAAATCTAAATAACCCACTATAAATACATTTGTTCTCTTATTTTGTTAAGGAGAGGTTGCCATTATTCGTTAAAAACCAAAAAAGGGCGACCATTTTCATCCAAAAAGAAATTGCACCCATATTTTTTCCCAAGTTCGAACTAGTTACTCCATCATCTTCAACCTCTACCCATCAAATCACCATTGTTATATCCTCATCTTCAACCTCTATCCACCACACCACCTTGACCCATTTCACGTACCAAGAGCACTCGCCAAAGCCACACCACACTACATCTTTAATCTTTATCAAGACCCAACTTGAACCAAACCCACTCCACCACTATATCTTCAACCTTCATCAAAGCCTAAACCAAACCAAACCAATCCCTTTTGACTATTGAAGCATCTTCAACCTTCATCAAGACGTAAGTTGAACTAGACCTACTCCATCATTGAAGAATCTTTAACCTTCATTAAGATCTAAGTCGAACCAAACCCACTCCACCATTGAAGCATCTTCAACCCTCATTAAGACCCAAGCTAAACCTAACCCATTCCACCATTGAGGTATCTTTAACCTTCATCAAAACCCAAGCAAAACTAGACCCATTCCACCATTGAAGTATCTTTAACCTTCATAAGACCCAAACCAAATTAGACCCACTCCACCATTATATGATCTTCGACCTTCATAAAGACCCAAGTAGAACCAAACTAACACCACCATTACTACATCTTCTCCCTCAAACTAGCCATCAATCCACCACGGACCCATCACCATTATTTTCTTATCATCAAGAACTAACTACCAAGCCTACTAAAACCCACACACCCCCACTATCAAGCTCATCAATACCCATACTAATTCGCTATCAAGCTCATTGAAACCCATACCTTAATTGAACACTACAACTACTACCACTAACAACCACAGTCACACTTTGATTGAACGCCCCTACTCGCTTGGAATCTTTCATCCATTTTTACTCATGTTATGTTTAAAGCTTATAATGGTGGTATGAGAGGGATTATACCCAAAATTGAAACTGTTTGTCTTGCTTTCTTGTTGTATTATTGTTTGTCATTTGAAATGGTAACTGAAGAGGGATATTAAACCTAAAAAATGGAAGTTGTGTTGGTTTGATGTGTTTTTCTATTATAGTAAAAAAGTGACGATATGTAAAAATATATAAACTTGAAATTAGACCTAAAACAACTCAAGGATTGATTATGTTAGATATATTGATTGAAAATACACGGTTTAATGTGTTTTTATAATTTGATGTTATAGATTATAGATTGGATTAAACGAGGACTAAGGGATTAACTTATCAAAAAATGACGAGTCTCTTTCTCTTTTTTAGTTGATCGAATAATAAGTCTTTATCAAGATCGAAAGAAGTGAAATTAACTCGAAAAGATTGTTAGTAATTTCATTTTCCAATGGCTATTTGGATAACTTTTGGAACCAACTTTACCCATTTATTATTTTGAATGAAAATTATATAAATTATTATCTTATTATTTTTAGATGAATGAGATTAAAAATGCTAATTTGAATACGTTTGAGAAATTTAAAGTGTTGTGATATACACTCGTTATGTATCAAACCCGAAAGGGTCGAAGAACCTGGTTATTTTGAAGAGTAATAAAGAAGATTGTTCAATACTTTACAATAGAATTAAAAAAATGACTTTATAATTTAATTTCAATGATTTATCCGAGACAAGTGTTGGTCCCAGCGTTCATAATTAAAAATGAGTTTTTTGTTTGTTTATGATGACATGATTGATTCGATGGGTTGAGTGTGATATTTTAATTTCGTGATGTTCATGTCCATGTCATGATTTTAAATGATTTATTATTTTTTATTATGGTCTATAGTCATAAAAGACTCCTAATTTTATTTAAATGATTTGTTGTTTTATTGATATATAAGTCTGCAATCATAAGGGACTCGCTATTTTACTTAAATAATTTAATGTTTTACTCGTTATATGAATGTAGTCATAAGAAACTTGTCATTGTAATTAAATAATTTACTATTTTTTTGTTATATGATTATAGTCGTAAGGGACTCTCTGTTTCATTTAAATAATTTTTTATTTTGCTATTATGAGTCATGCAGTCGTAAATGACTCCCTTATTTTACTTAAATGAATTAATGTTTTAATATTATATGGTCTGTAGTCATAAAGGATTCACTATTTTACTTAAATGATTCACTATTTTACCGTTATATGACTATAGTCACAAGAAACTCACCATTTTACTTAAATAATTTGTTGTTTTACCGTTATACAACTACAATCATAAAGGACTTACCATTTTGCTTAAACAATTTGTTGTTTTGTTGTTATATGGTCGTAGTCACAAGGAACTCATCATTTTACTTAAATGATTTATTATTTTGTTATTATAGATTGCGATCCTAAGAAACTCACTATTTAAATTAAATGATTTACTTGTTTTGTTGTTATATGGCTATAGTTTTGAAGGACTCGACATTTTACTTAAATCATTTATTGTTTTGCTATTATATGGTCTGCAGTCATAAAGGATTTATCATTTTACTTAAATAATTTATTGTTTTATTTTTATATAATTGCGATCACGAGGGAATCCTTATTTTATTTAAATAATTTATTGTTATGGGCTATAGTCACAAAGGACTCACCATTTAACTTAAATGATTTGTTGTTTTGTTGTTATATGACTACGATCGTAAGGGACTCGCTATTTTATTTAAATAATTTGCTATTTTATTATGATATAACTACATTCACAAGGGACTCACTATTTTATTTAAATGATGATGGCAATACATTGTCGTTAATAAAAACTAAATCTCCCCTAACTTGACTTTTATCTGTAAGAGTTTATGATTGTCTAAAACTTCCATTGTAATAATGGTATCGGACCACGATAACAAGATACCTCTAAAAAACAACTAGCCTTTATCTTATGGGAGCTTGTCAAGTCTAGTTGATGGCTCATTGATTTTTAGTTCAACAATGAATAAAATCTTTGGTTTATATAGTTAAACATAATCATAAAAAACCACTCTAAATAGCTAATGTTTAACACCTTGACAATTCTAAAACATAATCTTCATTGGCAACATTAATAAAAAAAGACATAAATGATAGATTTAATGTAATGCCGTGTACTCGCTAAAATAAGAATGTAATAAAAGTTTAATATTAAAACCGTATGAAAATAAAAAAAATAAATACTTTTGAGAATGAGAAATAATTACTAGAAACTTAAAAGAATATTTAGAAGGTTCAAAATAGTTTTCCATGCTTAAAGAATATTTTAGTGATTTTTCCGTACATGAATAAGAGTTATTGCATGAGAAAATTAATTAAACCATGTTTTTTGTGTATGAAAAATATTTTTTTTGTTTAGAATAATTTTTAGAAGGGTGTTAGATTATTTTATATGATTTTATGAATTTTTCTACATATGGTGAATATTTCATTGAATTTTCTAAGTGTAGGAATAATATTTTTAGAGGTAAAGAATTTAATCGAGCACCTTAAGAGTATGAGAAATTTTTTTAAGAGTATAGAATAATCATATAGGATATGCGAGAGTGCCTAGAAAATTTAAATTAATTTTAGTAAGTATAGGGAATATTTTTTATAGGAAATAATGTAATTTTCACACTAAATAAATAAATTGAAGGCTCAAATTACGGCCAAAAATTATGAAAATTAAATCAAACTCCCTTAATGAATGTTTGAATTTATTCTAGAAAGAAATTTGATTTTTGAAAAGTATAGAATGGAATTTTAAAGCGAGGAATAAATTGCATAAAATTAGGGACTCAATTGCATAAAATTAAAAGTCTAATAATCCAAATTAAATTATTTGAGAATGTTAAGGGTTAAACATTGGTCCTAAAAACTAAAAAGAAATTATTAGAAGTGAGTTTTTACATAAAAGAGGGACTCTGGAAAGAATGGGCTATGGAAAAGTCTAGAAACTTAGAGGACCAAAATTTTTCATTTTCCTCCCAACATTGGCCGACCTAGAGCATTAATTAAGTCCGACTTCCAATAAAAATTATGGCAAAAAATGAGAAAGGTGGAAGGGTTAAATAAAAGGGTGAATAAATGGCTAAAAATTGGGACAAATGCAAATGAATGATTGAAAATTGAATTAAGGGCTGAGATTTTCTCATATTAAGGTGGAGATGAGGTCAATAGGTCCACAAAATTTCATATAAATAGGGGTGTTGAAAAAATAAAAAGGAGAGGAAAAATTGAAAAACACAAAAGAAACTCTTATAAAATTTTCACTTAAAAATCACCCAAAACATTTTTAATAAATTTTATCCACCTCTAATAAGTGGAAGTAGCTTGAGTTTTAAGTTGGAAGTCGAAACACTCGAAGGAAAAAATTTGAAGATCAAATTCAAAAATTTAGAGGAAAAGAGGAGGAAGAGAAATCCTTAACCAATCTACCTTTTTAGAGTCTAATTAGAGATTAAACAAGTAAATTAACCTCACTTACACCACAAGCATGCTTAATTTCAAGTCAATTTCATGTTTAATTGCTTGATTTGATTTAATTTCTCAATTAAGAAAAATTAGAAATTAGGGTTATGTTTTTTTGATGAACCCAATTTAGGGGTTTTGAATTCTTTCATTTAATTGGTGTTTTGGCACTTTATTTTGACTTATTTGAGCATGAATTAATGTTTACGATCGAAAAATTATACTTTAATTGAAGAAAAATGCGCTAATTTTTAGGAATTATATTCGACCTAAACTAAGCATATTAGGGTTTGAGTTTAAAGCAATTTAGTTCTGGTTTGATGGGTCATTCACACTTGAATAAGCATATTTTGATGAGTAGAAATGGAAAATTTGCTAAAAATTGAAAAAAAAATGGGTTATATGGGTTGGGCCCAATTTTGGCCCATTAGGGCCCAATACGGGTTTGGGAATGAACTAGGGTTCTAAATTTTAATTAAATTAATTCTTATAGTGAGTACATATTTAGGCTATTTGTTATTAAAATGGTAGGGCAAAATGAGAAGAAAATCTTAGGAATTTAAATGGTGAAATATTTGGCCTAAATGAGGAATTTTGAGAAGTAAGTTTAAAGTAAGTTCCAAACCCTAAATTAATCCATTCAAGTGCAAAATAAGGTAAAGGGATGATTTAGAACAAAAGTGTTCATGAAAATCTAAAGAAAAATTGATTTAGGAAAAATTGGACTTTAGGCCCAAACCAAAATTGAACCACCTAATTAATGAAATAGTACCTAATTAAGTTAGAACATGGATTAATACCTAATTTGGTAAAGGCTAGATGTAAAAGGGTAGTTAGCAACCTAAGAAAAATAATTTAAAAATGTTAAAATGTAGAGTAAGTTACTTGAAACTAAAATGAAATGTAATTATTTACTTACTCTTATGCTATAATTGTATTTTCTTCCCAATAATATATGAAATGCAATGAATAATGAATGATGGTTATGCTTGAGTTGTGATTAGTGATGAGCTATGTGGTTATGATAATTGATGTGTCAATGTTGGTTGCACTCGCTTGATATGGGTTGATGTTATCTATGTCGTTATGCTTGCCTAATTTTATACGTGTTATATGTTTTCATAACATGGTTAGATGATGATTTAAGGCATGCATTTAGGTATCATTGTTAGCATGCATTGTCATTCACAAGTGCATATGCATGCCAAAGCTCATGAATGAT